CAGGTGACCCTGAATCCTCCCTTAGTTATGCTGCAATAGGCATAGGCTGCTGAGGGATTCCCATGATGCATCGAGTTTTTCCTTTTCAGTCAGCTTTCTCACTCACTATATGTTAATAGACCTCTCTGCATTGGATCGTACTTGTTATTAATCTCTGGGCATGGCTGGGGCAGCCAAGAAGAGGGCCATCTAGGCTGTGAGTGAAGCGGCAGAGAAAGCCACAAGGTGGCCGTGGATCAAGAGGGCTGATCCGTGGGTAACTACTGGTACGCAAGTCAGGGCCTGATCACCCCCGGCTGGGTCGCCTGGGCGAGGGTGTATGATGCTGTGAGACCCGAAACACCTGATGACCCCAGGATACATCACTGAAGATGCGTACCAGTGCATCCAGAAGATGTGTCTTTTATAGTTAAACTCTGGCTGAGCCAGTGATGCCTAGGAAGAGACTAGGTGACAACCAAGAAAAGTTTGGTGACCACTGGAGAGACAGATGACAGCTCAGAAAGACGGCTCCAGGGGCAGGGTGGGCTAGCATCCCGGTCTGCAGTTTTCGTGAGAAAGCACCCCAAAAAAGCTACGGAAAGCCCTAAAGAAAGATACCCCCAGGAGATCCCGAGAGGGGGGAGGATGAGGTCTCCAATCGGATGGACTCAAGGTTAACAACAAACGCAATGGAAAGGACTACGAGTAAGACATGTATCTGCGGCAAGCTGTGTAAGAACCAGCGTGGCCTAAAGGTCCATCAGGCCAGAATGAAATGTTTGGAGCAGGAGAGTGAGGTGCAACGCACAGGTCCTGAACCTGGTGAGACGCAGGAGGAGCCCGGCCAGGAGGCACCCCACAGAGCCCAGTCCCTCCACGCAGTCCCAGTCCCTCCACGGACTCTTCCAATCCAAGCAGTGTAGTTCCACAACAGTGGATTAAGTGGCCTCTAGCCAGCAGCCGGAGCAAGTGGAAGAAATTTGATGAGGATGTCGCCAACATCATACAAGCTGTGGAGATGCTGACAGCAGGCTTAAAACAATGACCACCATCATAGTCAGCTACGCCTCAGAAAGGTTCAGCCTGACCGAGAAGTGTAACAACAAGACCCCTTACACCATGAACCGCAGGGCCATGAAGATTCATCGACTGCGCCAGGAGCTTAGGAGCCTTAAGAAGCAGTTTAAGAACACTGATGCGGAGGAGAAGCAAGCTTTAGAGGAACTGCATAACATCTTGCAGAAGAAGCTGATTACCCTCCATAGAGCAGAATGGCACAGGAGGCGGGGAAGAGAGAGAACCAGGAAATGTGCAGCTTTTATTGCTGATCCCTTTCACTTTTCCAAACAATTGCTTGGGGTTAAGCGAAGTGGCCAGTTGGAATGCTCAGGAGAGGAGGTGAATAACTTCCTTCATGAGACCATGAGTGACACACTGAGGGAACAAGACTTGGGACCAAACAAAGCTCTCACCAACCCTGCCCCACCATCAGTAGAGTTCAAGTTGATGGACCCAAGTTTGAAGGAGGTGTGTGAGGTCATCAAGGCAGCCCACTCAGCATCCTCCCCAGGTCCCAGTGGCGTACCCTACCTTGTTTATAAGCGCTGCCCAGAGCTGCTTTGCCACCTGTGGAAGATCTTAAAGGTGATATGGCGGAGAGGGAGAGTTGCTGATCAGTGGAAGTGTGCAGAGGGAGTCTGGATTCCCAAAGAGGAGGACTCAAAAAACATAAACCAGTTTCGGAGCATCTCGCTATTGAGCGTGGAGGGGAAGGTGTTTTTTTTTAGCGTTGTCTCCCAGAGATTGACCGAGTTTCTCCTTAGAAACAATTACATTGATCCATCAGTTCAGAAGGGGGGATCCCAGGAGTTCCTGGTTGCCTAGAGCACACTGGTGTAGTTACACACCTTATAAGAGAAGCCCATGAGAACAGAGGCGACCTAGCTGTATTGTGGCTGGACCTGACAAATGCATATGGGTCGATCCCACACAAACTGGTTGAGCATGCTTTGCACCTCTACCATGTCCCCAGCAAGATTAAGGACCTGATCCTGGACTATTACGCCAATTTCAGGCTTAGGGTCACTTCTGGGGCAGTTACTTCAGACTGGCACCACCTCGGGAAAGGTATAATAACAGGCTGTACCATCTCAGTTACGCTCTTTGCCCTGGCAATGAACATGGTGGTAAAGGCTGCGGAGGTGGAGTGCAGAGGGCCGCTAACAAGGTCAGGTGTTCTTCAGCCCCCTATCAGAGCCTATATGATCGCCTTGAGGCGACATTTGTTGTGATTTGGCGCTATATAAATAAAATTGAATTGAATTGAAATTGAATATGGATGACCTCACCATTACAACATCATCAGTCCCAGGGTGTAGGTGGATCTTGCAAGGTCTTGAGAGACTCATCTCATGGGCAAGGATGAGTTTTAAACCTTCCAATTCAAGATCGATGGTACTGAAGAAGGGCAAGGTGATGGACAAGTTCTGGTTCTCAATTTCAGAATTTCATTATTCCATCCATAACGGAACAACCAGTCAAGAGCTTGGGGAAACTCTTTGACTCCAGCCTGAAAGACTCTACTGCCATTCAGAAGGCAAATGAGGAGCTGGGAGCGTGGCTCATTAAGGTGGATAAGTCCGGCCTGCCTGGAAGATTTAAAGCCTGGATCTACCAGCATTCCATCCTGCCCCGAATCCTGTGGCCCTTGCTTGTCTATACAGTTCCAATAACTACTGTGGAATCCCTTGAAAGGAAGATCAGTGGCTTTCTTCGTAAGTGGGACTTCCCCGCAGTCTCACCAGCGCTGCCTTGTATGGGGCAAGCAACAGCTTGAAGTTACCCTTCAGTGGTCTCACAGAAGAGTTGAAGGTGGCTTGCACACGAGAAGCCCTACAGTACAGAGATTCTAAAGACTGCAAGGTGGCATCAGCAGGTATTGAGGTAAGGACAGGAAGAAAGTGGAAGGCTGAGAAGGCAGTTGAGGTGGCAGAGTCACGCCTAAGGCAGAAAACACTGGTGGGGGTCTTAGCAACAGGGGGAGCAGGCTTGGGGTACTTACCAAAAGCCCAGGTCAGCAGGGCACAGGGAAAGGAGAGACACCAGCTACTCCAGGAAGAGGTCCGAGCAGGTGTGGAGGAGGAGCGAGTAAGTAGAGCTGTAGGCCTTAAGCGGCAGGGAGCATGGACAAGGTGGGAGAGCACCTTCCAGTGCAAGGTCACCTGGGCAAACATCATGCAGGCAGACTTCCACCGGATCTGATTCCTAGTGCAGGCAGTATACGACACTCTGCCAAGCCCAGCAAACCTCCATCTGTGGGGGAAGAGCGAGACACCTGTCTGTCCCCTGTGCTCTGGAAGAGGGACCCTAGAACACCTCCTTAGCAGCTGCCCAAGGGCCCTGGCCGATGGTCGGTATCGTTGGCGGCACGACCAGGTGCTCAGAGTAGTTGCTGAAAAGATTGCCTCAGCAATCAGCACCAGCAAGCATCAACATGCTCCGAGGAAGGCAATCTCTTTTATTAAGGCTGGAGAGAAACCCCAGGTGCGCCCACATTTGACAACTGGCCTCCTCAACACAGCCTCTGATTGGCAGCTACAGTGCAGGAGTGCAGGGGAAGGGGCTGGAAGACTTTCTATGAGCCCATAGAAGGGGGTTGTAGGGGCTTTGCAGGACGATCACTCTGCAAAGTCCTAGGCCGGCTGGGCGTGGCTGGGGCAGACAAGAAGAGGGCCATCCAGGCTGTGAGTGAAGCGGCAGAGAAAGCCACAAGGTGGCTGTGGATCAAGAGGGCTGATCTGTGGCTAGCTATTGGTACGCAAGTCGGGGCCTGATCACCCCCCGGCTTGGTCGCCTGGGCGAGGGAGTATGATGTTGTGAGACCCGAAATACCTGATTCCAGGATACATCACTGAAGATGCGTACCAGTGCATCCAGGAGATTTGTCTTTTATAGCTGTCTCTCTTCTATCCTGTCTTCCTCCTTTCACCCCAACTGGTCGCAGCAGATGGCCACCCCTCCCTGAGCCTAGTTTTGCCAGAGGTTTCTTCCTGTTAAAAGGGAGTTTTTCCTTACCACTGTCAGTGGTATGGTTGCTCATAGGGGCTCATTTGATTGTTGGGTTTTTCTCTGTATGTAAGTAAGTAAGTAAGTAAGTAAGTAAAAAAAGATGTGTTCTTAGTTGTTTTTTTAAAAGTGATCACTGAGTCCGCAGATCTTAAGTTCTGAGGAAGAGAGTTCCACAGTCTGGCGGCCACAGTGGCAAAAGCTCTGTCTCCCTTGGTTTTCAGCCTTGTATGCTGAATAACAAGTAGGCCCTGATCACAAGACCTCAGGGACCTACTAGGGACATAGGGCTGTAAAATTTCAATGATGTAGGCTGGTGCTTGTCCTTGAAGAGCTTTAAATGTCAGAACCAGTATCTTAAAATGGACTCTGAATTCAACAGGGAGCCAGTGCAGCTGTATAAGCAATGGTGTTACATGAGAGTACTTAGATGTTTTTGTCAGAAGCCTTGCTGCAGCATTTTGGACAATCTGCAGACAGTCCAGGGAGTTTTTGTTTAGACATATAAACAGTCAATTACAGTAATCCAATCGTGATGAAATGAATGCATGAATAACAATCTCCAGTTCAGTATGAGATACTAAAGGGCTCAATTTAGAAATGTTTCTTAAATGATAGAAGCAGGACCGAACCAGAGATTTGATGTGAGCATCCAGGGTAAGAGCAGAATCAAAGGTTACCCCTAGGTTCCTGATAGACGATTTCACAAATGTTGAAAGAGGACCAAGAGCATTCATTATGTTAGGTACATGTCTGTCTGAAGCACATACAAGGACTTCAGTCTTTTCTTCATTAAGTTGGAGGAAGCTATTAGCCATCCAACCTTTGATGGATTCTAAGCACTCATTTAGAATATGCAGCTTAGAAACATCTTCAGGTTTAAAAGAAATATATAGCTGGATGTCGTCTGCGTAACAGTGGTAGCAAATGTCCTCAAAGGGGCTCAAAATATGCTGGAGAGGAAGTAGATATATTAAAAACAATAAGGGCCCCAGCACAGAACCTTGT